CATTGGGGTGGAGCAGTGTCAAAGGGCAAGGCTGGGTGCAATGCCAGCCTTAGACGCGCATCAACTGGCCAAAACACGCACATGTAGTGCACAAGGAGCGGCTACCAAGTGTGCAGGGCACATGGTTGTGCAGCTGAGCGGTTACAACTACCTTATCAAGGCATGGATGATCATATGGCTAAGTGGATGTGCATTTTTAATCATGTTTGATCATGGCATATTAGTTGGGAGATGTCAACAAAATAGGAAAACTGACTCATGAGAGTTTGACAAGTGTAATAGGGCTGACTGCAGTATAAATATGTTCTAGCAGCACCTAATTTCGTCTAAGTACCTAGGGAGGGAAAACATGCAAGATGTAGGCATAGGGTTGTCTATGTCACGGCTTGAGAATGGAAAATTATTTTCCATTGCCTTGCCAAAAATCAGTGGGCACGAAATATCTTAGGCAGGGGCCTTTTAGAAGGCATATTGTGCAAGTGTTGGCAATTTCGTGAGTTGGTGACTGCCAAGGGTGGCAATACCTTTCCAAACTTGAGATTTTACTTTGTAATTAATTACTATAAAAGGTTTGGAAAGGGTTCCTATAATTCTGCATGTGCTTTACATGTTTCTTATTTCCTTAAAATTATTCTAAGTGTTAAACCTTGAAAGCGAAAGACATTGGGTAAAGGCTGAGTTAACTAGGGACTTGGCTGCCACAGAGTGGGCATGTTTTTGGCCGATAGAAAATGCCATGTGACATGTAACAAGCAGCGTTAAGTGCCATTACGATCCCTTTTATTGGGAATTTGGTTCGTGATAAGTTGGTCTCAGAACTCTAGGTTACATAGGTCTTACGATTCATGAGAAAGCTTACTAGAGTCTTGAGAATTGGTACAGAGACGTCTATAGTTATCTTCTAGAGTCTATAAGGCTTTAGGAAACTTCAATTTCTTTCTTTCTCTGTCATGCAATTTTGTTCTATCATAAAGTTTGAATTTTTCTTCTCTTATTCTCTCACAAATAGTGAGGACATGTGCTTCGTCCGCAGATGTTCAGGAGCCAGAGCCCCAGATTGTAGATACCACCAGGGGTAGGTGCTAGGGAAAGGCAGAGGCAGAGGTAATGGTAGAGTTTAGCCTAGATGCATGCTGGCACCCGTAGTCGAGCCCCAGATAGATTAGGATAACAAGATTCCAGTTTATGCCAAGCTAGTAGGACCGTCTCAGGTCTATTATTGTCGGGGTAGTTCAGCCTATTATTGCCGGACAACCCGAGGATAGTCCTGTGATGTTAGCTGAAGAGCTGAAGTGGTTGGACAGGTTCACCTATGTTGTCTCCTCCACACCTCAGTACTGCTCTTTCAGAGGATGCCTAGGACTTCTTGGGCTGTTTCCATGCAATTTTGTGAATCCTGGGACTAGTTGAGTCCAATGGAGTTGATTTCACCATATTTCAGATGCATGGTTCTGCCAAGAGGTGGTGGTAGGTTTACGAGATGGGCAGGCCAGCGGGATTACTTTTTCTTACATGGGCTTAGTTTTTGCAGTTTTTCCTAGAGAAGTTTTTTCCCCTCACTTAGAGAGATGAGTTGTGCAGCTAGTTCGAGCGTCTTCAGTAGTGTAGAATGACAGTTTCCCAGTATGAGACTAGATTTGATGATTTGTCTTGCCATATAGCCATCCTGTTCCATACTGAGAGGGAGAAGGTGTGGAGGTTTATAGAGAGTCTTACCTATGGCATCGTACTTCAGATTGATAAAGAGGACAAGAATGAGACTTCTTTCACTCATGTGCTGGAGATTGCTAGGAGGATTGAGCTCATTAGAGTCCAGGTGAGAGAGAAGACCTCTGACAAAAGGCCCCATTATTTTGGAGGTTTCACTGGTGCCTCTTCAGGAGGCAGGGGTTATTTTGGTAGAGGACATTCTATCATGCTGGTACAGTCAGCTCTTCAGGCCACACATAGAACATCCGGCACCCACAATGCTTATGGACCTCGTTCCGAGCAAATAGCATACAGTGCACCTTCAGCTCCTATTAGTGCACCTCTAATACAGAGTTACCATGGTGGTTATTCAGATCATCAGGGATAGTTTCAGGTTTAGCATCACGTCAAAAGGGCTTTCTATGTGTCTGGGGATTTGAGGCACGTCGCGAGGTTTTGCCCTAGGTCGTAGAGCAGTATGCCATATCAGGATACTTGTGCCATGATTCTGGCACTGGTTGCTACACCTCATCGTCAATCAGATAAAGGTGGGGGTCAGGTAGCAAGAGGTGGAGGTCGTCCTAGAGGTGAGGACAGGCTAGGCCTAAGGCAGAGTTATTACAGGTATTATTTCAGTCTGCCATAGAGATACTTCATTGTTGTTTGATATGGGTTTTACATATTCTTATGTGTCTTCATATTTTGCTTCGCACCTAAGAATGCCTTATGATTCTCTTGATGTTCCTCTTTCAGTTTCCATACCGGTTGGGGATTCTATAGTAGTCAATCGAGTGTATCGATCTTGTGTTGTTACAATTATTGGTTTTGATACGATGGTTGATATTTTGTTGCAGGAGATGGTGGATTTTGAGGTCATTCTTGGTATCGATTGGTTGTCCCCGTATCACGCTATCTTGGATTTTTATGCAAAGACTATAACTTTAGCTATGCCGGTGTTTCCTAGATTAGAATGGAGAGGGACCCTGGGCTATTCTACTAGTAGGGTGGTTTCATATTTGACGGTTCAGTGTATGTTTAAGAAGGGGTGTTTAGCGTACTTGGTTTACTTTCGAGATTCAAGTGCGGAGGTTTCTTCTATGGATTCAGTATCGGTAATGAGGGAGTTTCCAGAGGTATTGTTTTGCAGATTTGCTTGGTATGCCACCCGACAGGGATATTGACTTTTGCATTGATTTGGTTCCGGGAACTCAGCCTATTTCTATTCCACCTTACCGCATGGCTCCAACCGAGTAGAAGGAATTAAGGAACAACTGTAGGATTTACTTGATAAAGGATTTATTAGACGTCGTGTGTCACATTGGGGTGAGCCAATATTGTTTGTTAAGAAAAAAGATAGATCGATAAGAATGTGCATTGACTATCAGCGGTTGAAAAAGGTTACCATCAAGAACAAGTATCGGTTGCCTAGGATTGATGATTATTTGATCAACTTCGGGGTGCCAAGGCTTTTTCCAAGATTGACTTGAGATCAGTCTATCATCAGGTGAAGATTAGGGTATCAGATGTCCCTAAGACAACTTTTAGGACCCATTATGGTCATATGAGTTCTTGGTGATGTCATTTGGTTTGAATAATGCTCCAATAACTTTCACATATTTGTTGAACCGAGTGTTAAGTCTTACATAAACATGAGCAGCACCTAGAGATTGCGCTTTAGACTTTGAAGAATCATCTGCTTTATGCCATGTTTTCGAAGTGTGAATTATGGTTGGACTCAATTTACTTCTCAGGACATGTTGTGTCATTTGATGGTATCAAGGTAGATTCTAAGAAGATTGAGGTAGTTCAGAGTTCGCCACGACCTACTACAGCTATTGACATTCAGAGCTTCTTGGGTTTGGTGGGCAACTTTTGCCGTTTTGTGGAGGGGTTTTCATTTATTGCAACCCTATTGACCAAGTTGACCCAAAAGGGTGTTCTTTTTAGATGGTCTGATGAGTGTGAGGAGAGCTTTTAGAAGCTCAAGACTGCCTTGACTACAACCTAGTGTTGGTGTTGCGCACAAGTTCAAGGTCTTATACTGTGTATTATGGTGCTTCACGTATTGGACTTGGTGAAATATTGATGTAGAAATGTATCATCAATTGAAAATCCATGAGAAACCTATCTCGTGCATGATTTGGAGTTGGCAGCTATTGTGCATGTGCTCAAGTCTTGGAGGCATTACTTATACGGCATTTCATGTGAGTCTACACCGATCATCGGAGTCTCTAATATCTATTCAAGCAAAAGGATCTGAATTTGAGGCAACAAAGATGGTCGGAATTTTTTAAAGACAATGATATCACTATATTATATATTGGGAAAAGGTTAATGTGGTGGCTGATGTCTTGAGTATGAAGGCGGAGAGTATGGTTACCTTGGCATTTCTATGGGCAGTGGAGAAGCCGTCACCTTTGGATGTTCAAGCCTTAGCTAAAAGGTTTGTGAGGTTGTATATTTTAGAGCATAGCAGGGTTATTGCTTGTGTTATGGCGCAATCCTCTTTGTTGGAGCACAACAAGGCTTGACAGTTTGATGATCCTCGCTTGTTGGTGTTAAAAGACACAGTGTAGTGCGGTGGTTCTAAGAAGATCATGATTGAGGATGACGGTGCTATGCCGCTTCATGGTTGGATTTGTGTTCCGAATTTTGATGGTTTGAGAGATTTGATCCTTAAGGAGGCTCATAGGTCCCGATATTCTATTCACCCAGGTGTAACGTAGATGTATCATGACTTGAAGCAACATTATTGGTGGCGAAGATGAAGAAAGACATTGTTAGATATGTATCTCAAATTTCAATTGTCAGCGGGTGATGTATGAACATCAGAAACTAGGTGGTTTGACTGAGAAGTTGGTGATACCGGAGTGGAAGTAAGAGTGTATCACTATAGACTTTGTGGTAGGCTTACCATAGACTTTGAGGAGGTATGATGGTTTTTGGGTAATTATGGATTGATTGACCAAGTCCGCGCATTTCATTCTGGTGATGACTTCCTACACTTCAGAGCGATTGGCGCATATCTATATTATGGAGATTATTCGCACGCACGGTGTGCCCATTTATATCATTTCCAACTGTGGCGCATAGTTCACTTCGCACTTTTGGATAGTTGTTCAGTGTAAGTTAGGCACGCATGTTGAATTGAGTACTACATTCATCCTCAGACAGACGGGCAGTCCAAGCGGACCATTCAAATTTTGGAGGATATGTTGATGGCTTATTTTATTAATTGCGGAGGCTAGTGGGATTAGTTTCTCCCATTATCGGAGTTTGCATACAACAATAGCTATCGGTCGAGCATCTAGATGGCTCCATATAAGGCCTTATATGGAGACGATGTCGTTCTCCTGTTAGTTAGTTTGAACCAGGTGAGGCTAGATTATTGGGCACAAATTTAGTTCATGATGCTTTGGAGAAGGTAAAATTGAGTCAGGAGCGGTTTCGTACAACACAGACCAGAAAAAAGAATTATGCTGAAAGGAAGGTTTATGATGTGTCTTTCATAGAGGTTGAGAAGATTCTTCTCCGAGTATCGCCTATGAAAGAAGTGACAAGATTTGGGAAGAAAGGTAAGTTGAGCCCGAGTTAAATTGGCTCATTTGTGATCTTGGAGAGAGTTGAGGGCGTTTCTTATAGGCTTGCATTGCCTCCCAGCCTAGCAGGGGTACATCCGTCATTTCTTGTTTCTATTCATTCGAAGTACCATGAAGATAAGTCACATGTTCTAGACTTCTGCACAGTGCAACTTGATGGGGATTTGACTTATGAGGAAGAACCGTTAGCTATTCTAGATCAGCAGGTTCAACAGTTTAGATCCAAGGATATTCCTTCTATGAAAGTGCATTGGAGAGGTCAACTGACTGAGGAGGCTGCTTGGTTGTCTTAGTCCGACATGAAAAGTAGATATCCGCATCTTTTTACTAGTCCAAGTACATTTCTATGTCTGTTCGAGGACGAGCTTTTCTTTTAGAGGTGGAGAATGTAACGACTTGATAGGTCGTTTTGAGTTTTAGCTCCTCATTTCATGTTTTGATACCTTTCATAGCACTATTTGATGATTTATTAATTGGGTGTGTACTCTTTCTTGATTTCTAGAAAGTTTAAATGTGATTTTTTTAAGAAAATTTGATTTTTGAACTTGAGAATAGTTAGAGTTAACTACGGTCAACATTGTTGGTAAATGACCTCGGATCGGTGTTTTAACGATTCTGGTAGATTCGTATGATGATTTTGGACTTGTACGCATGTTGGGTTAGGGTCTCGGGTAAGCCGAGGCCCTTTCAACGCTTATTATGAAAAGTTGGAATTTGAAGTATGAACTTTGAATTCTTTGACTTTTAATGTTTGATTTTTGGTTTTTGATGTTATTTTGATGATTTGAGCCTACGAGCGAGTTCGTAATAGTGTTATTATACTTGTGTGGATGTTTGGATTGGGGCCCGAGGGGGCTGGGTGAGTTTCAGATTAATTTGTTAGGGCTTCTTGAGTTGTTGGTGCTGCTGGCATCGCGATTTTGATCTTCTATTTTAAAATGCGAGCCTCGTATTTGCGAAAGCACTCGCTTGAATTTACGATGATCGGAGGAGAAGGGGCAACTTTGCATTTGCGAGGATTTAGATCTTTGCATTGTCGAAGCTTTTGTTGCATTTGCGACTGCCGCAATTGCGATACTTGTGTCGCAATTGCGAGATCTGAGGCTCTGAGGCTAGATCATATTTGCGACTAGTTGTTCACTTTTGTGAATATCGTAATTGCGAATAAGTATCCACTACCTTGCATTGATGATTTGTTTGATCAACTTCAGGGTTGCAGAGTGATCTCAAATATTGACCTGAGATAAGGGTATCATCAGTTGAAGAATAGGGCTTCAGACATTACTAAGATGGCTTTCTGGACCCGTTATGGTCATTATGAGTTCTTAGTGATGTGTTTAATCTGACAAATGACCCAACAATATTCATGCACTTGATGAGCAGTGTTTTCCAGCCTTATTTGGATTCTTTTGTCATTATTTCCAGCCTTATTTGGATTCAGTGGCATTCTTGGGCCACATGGTGTCCAGTGAGGGGGTCAAGGTGGATACAAAGAAGATAGAGGCAGTTCAGAGTTGGCCCAGACCTTCAACAACCATGGAGATCAGGAGTATTCTAGGTTTGGGCTGGGTATTATCATCGATTTGTAGATGGGTTCTATCCATTGCAACCATATTGACATAGTTGGCTCAGAAGGGTGCTCCATTCAGGCGATCTGACAAGTGCGAGCAGAGCTTTCAGAAGCTCAAAACTGCCTTGACTACAACTCCAATTTTTGTTTTACCTTCGGGATCAGGACTATACACATTTTATTGTGATGCTTTACGTATTGGTCTCACTTGTGTGTTGATGCAGGATGGTGTGATTCCCTAAGGTTCACGTCAGTTGAAGACCCATGAGAAGAACTATCAAGTGTGTGATTTGGAATTAGTAGCTACTATACACGCACTCAAGATTTGGAAGCATTATTTATATGGCGTGTCATGTGAGGTGTATACGGGTCATCAGAGTCTCCATCATCTGTTTAAACAGAAAGATTTGAATTTGAGGTAGTGGAGGAGGTTGAAGTTGTTGATAGATTATGATATCACTATTCTCTATCATCTGGGGAAGGCTAATGTAGTGGCAGACACCTTGAGTAGTAAGGCGGAGAGCATGGGTAGTTAAGCATTCATTCATGTTGGGGAGAAGCGTTTAGCTATCGATGTTCAAGCATTGGCCAACATATTGGTGAGATTGGATATTTCGAAGCTGAGTAGAGTCCTTACTTGGGTTGTATCTCGGTCTTCCTTGCTTGAGCACATTATGTCTTGCCAGTATGATGATCCCCACTTGCTTGTCCTTAGGGACATGGTGCATCACAGTGATGCTAAGGAGGTGAATATTGGTGATGATGGGGTATTGCGACTCATGGGCCGAGTTTGTGTTCCTAATGTCGATGTCTTGAGAGAGTTGATTCTTGAGAAGGATCATAGTTCGCGGTATTTCATTCATCTAGGTGGTACAAAGATGTATCCTGACTTGAAGCAACATTATTGATGGAGGAGGATGAAGAAGGACATTGGTGGACATGTTTCTATGTGTTTGAATTGCCAACATATCAAGTATGACCGTCACAAACCGGGTGGTTTGCTTAAGAAGATTGATATACTAGAGTGGAAGTGGGAGCACGTTACTATGGACTTTATGGAGGTTCAGCGTGAGTTGGGCGTTCAAGTAGAGTTGAGTACTGCATTTCACCCTCAGATAGACGGGCAGTTCCAACAGACCATTCAAATCTTGGAGGATATGTTGAGGGCATGTACTATTGGTTTTGGAGGCCAGTGGGACCAGTTTCTACCTCTAGCCGGGTTTTCCAACAATAATAGCTATCATTCTAGTATCCAGATGGCTCCGTATGAGGCCTTATATGGGAGGCGGTGTCGTTCTCCGGTTGGTTGGTTCGAAGGTTATTGGACATAGACTTGGTCCATGATGCTTTGGAGAAGGTGAAGTTGATTCAAAAGAGGCTTCGCACAGCTCGGTCCAAGTAGAAGAGTTACACGGACCGGAAGGTCTGTGATGTGGCTTTTATGGAAGGCGAGAAGAATCTTCTTAGGGTGTTGCCCATGAAGGGTGTGATGAGGTTTGGGAAGAAGGGCAAGTTGATCTCGAGATCTTTTGGCCCTTTGAGGTGTTGGAGAGAGTCGGCGAGGTTTCTTATAGACTTGATTTTCCTCCTAGTCTTTCGGGAGTTCATCCGATATTCCATGTTTCTACCTGACTACCCATTTGAATACGAGTCCAAATATACAAGTTCCACTACCTAAAAAGACACTTTGCGATCACGGTCAAGCACCCGCAAACATGATGCAATGGCATCTTAAGCCCATGCAAACGCAACCCTGATCACGCAAATGTGATGGCTAAACCCCAGCCGGCTCCCAACCAGCCTCTCCTCTAGGCGAACGCGAGCCCATCGCCTACGAATGCGAAGACCAATGACTCCAACCCTTTACTAACACGACCTTCTATATATGAATGTGTAGAACAAAATAACAGCTACCCAAATAAGCCTCCACGATCGCGAGACCTGCTTCGTGATCGTGATGTACACCAAACATGAACAGAAAATTTGAAATCTCAACCAACCCTCGGGTGGTCCAAAACTCTCTTGAGCCACCAAGGACCCCATCCAATTATGCCAACAAATCCGTAAAGTTTAAACGGGCCTATCCAAAGCCTACAAACTCATGCGATATCACCACATTATGGATCGATGATCAAACCATCAATTAAACTTCTCTTAAGTTCATAGGCTTCTAAACTTCTAACCAAATGTCTGATTCCTATCAAACCAACTCGGAATGCAACCAAACATTGTACACAAGTTCCAAATGACATAACAAACCGATTCCAAGTCCCGGAACAACAATTTGAACCCAGTAGCCTCAAAGTCAACTCCAGGTAAAACTTATAAACTTTCCAAACCTTCAAATTTCCAACTTTAGACAATTAGAGATAAGACATCCTAGGAACCTCCAAATCCAAATCTGGACATATGCCTAAGTCCAAAATCACCTTACAAACCCATTGGAAAAATCAAAACACTAATCCGAGGTCGTTTATATAAAATTCAAAGTCAACTCTCATAACTTAAGCTTCCAAACATAGAACTAAGTGTTCTCATCCCCACAAGTCACAAAATAACAAACAAGCATATGGGAAGCATCAAATAGGGGAACGAGGCTCAAATACACAAAATAACCGACTGGTTTGTTACATTATCCCTCTCTTAAACAAGCGTTCTTCTTCGAACAAGTTTAGACTCATACCTGGGGTATCAAAAAGATGAGGATATCTGCTCCACATATCATGCTCGGTCTCCTAAGTCACACCCTCGACTTGACATCTCTACTAAACCTTCAGCGATTCAATATCTTTAGACTTCAGCTTCCAAACATGCCTATCCAAAATAGCCACCGGATCTTCCCGAGAAGCCAAATTCTTATCCAATTGCATAGAACGAAAATCCAACACGTGTGACTGATACTCATAATACTTCCAGAGCATGAAAACTTGGAATACCGGGTGAACTCCCTATAAGCTTGGTGGAAAATCAAGTCTGTAGGCCACCTCACTAACACTATCCAACACCTTGAAAGGACCAATATACCGAAGACTAAACTTGCCCTTCTTCCCAAATCTCATCAAGCCCTTCATAGGCAAAAATCAGAGAAAAACCATCTCACCTTCCATGAAAGCCACCCACAAACCTTCCTGTCAGCATAACCCCTCTTCTTGGACTATGTTGTACGAAGCCGCTCCTGAATAAATTTTACCTTCTCCATGGAATTATGAACCACATCTGTGCCCAATAGCCTAGCCTCGCCAGACTCAAACCAACCAACTGGAGAACAATATCTCCTCCCGCATAATTCCTCATACAGAGCCATCTAGATGCTCGACTAATAGCTATTATTGTATAGAAATACCGATAATGGAAGAAACTGATCCCACTGGCCTCTAAAATCTATGACACACACTCTCAACATATCCTCCAAAATCTGAATGGTCCACTCGGACTGCCTATCTGTCTGAGGGTAAACTAAAGTGCTCAACTCAACCTGTGTACCCTACTCACGTAGAAACTCTCTTTAGAAATGCGAAGTAAACTGATTGCCGGAATCCGAGATGGTAGAAACATGTACACCATGCAAACAGACAATCTCCTAGATGTAAATCTTATCCAACTACTCCAAAGTGTAGGAAGTCATAACTGGAATGAAATGCACAGACTTGGTCTGTTTGTCCACAATGACCTAAACTACATCAAATATCCTCATTGTCCATGGAAATCCTACCACAACATACA